CGCAGAGTGCGAGGGACGTCGCACGCCCCCCTTCGCGCGCGCAGGCCACGCGCGCGGGCCACGCAACGGGCGGAGTCCGAGCTGGAGGGGTGCCCTCTGTCGGGGCGAACAGGGAACGGGTATTCATCCGGGGCCCGCCTCCTTGGAAGGTCGCCACCTTCGCGGCAGGTCCCGTGTGTGCGCCGTTAAGGCTGAATGTAGAAAGTGGAGAGGGGAGGGGAAGGAGGAGGGGGTAGCAGAAGGCGGGAGGAGGAGGAGGAGGAGTGGGGAGGAGGAGGAGGAGGAGGAGGAAGAGGACGAGGAGGAGGAGAAGGGAGGAGGGAAGGAGGAGGAGGAGGAGGCGGAGGAGGAGGGAGGGAGGAGGAGGACGAGGACGAGGAGGGAGGAGGAGGGAGGAGGCGGCGGAGGAGGAGGAGGAGGGGGGAGGAGGAAGAGGAGGAGGAGGGAGGGAGGAGGAGGGAGGAGGAGGAGGAGGGAGGAGGAGGAATGGTTGAGTGCATGCTCATTCTGAATGCTCCAGGGCCCTGCCCAGGCCTCACCATATGTGCGACAACCGCGATCACGACGTCAGAGCGGCTCGGCAGCTCCTGCCTCTGGGGGCTGCCCTCGGCTGGCCTCTCGGGGCCGTCAGACGGAGGCGGCCCAGGCTGGAGCAATCGGTCCCCGGAGGGAAGGGTCGGGACTTGTGGGGACCCCGTCAGCGATAGCATCGATGGCAACGATACCAACCATGACAACGAGATCAGCGATCACAACGACGACAATGATAGCCACGAGAACTACGTCAACACGACAACACCCACAACGGCAAAAAAGGATAACAACGACAACAGCGAGACTGAGCAAATCGAGGGGAGGAGCCCGCGCGTGAGAGGGCGCGGAGAGGACCGCGATTCGTGCCCCATGACGGCGCGGGGGCGCGGAGAGTTGCCCAGGCGTTCGCTCCGCCGCTTCCCCCCAGGGGTCCAGTTTGTCCCTCGACTCCGTGTCTGTCAAGATAGTTGCCTACACAGTTTTGGCACAGCAGCGCCTCCCCACCTCCGCTGACATGCTCCTCAGAGGCCCCACAGAGGGCCGCGCTAGCAGCACGCATTTTGCACTGTACACGCGTTGAGTCTAGGACAGAAAATCATGGGGCGTGGGTGAAGCCGGGTTCAGTGGCCCGGATTCTGCTTGTTGTTCTTGTCGTTCCCCCCGCGACCCACCCGCGACGCCGCGACCCGCCCCGCGACTTACCCAGCGACCCACCCCGCGACTTACCCGCGACCCACCCCTGACCCACCCAGCGCCCGCCCCTGCATTCTTGTCCGCAAGTGCGGGTTGCTATGTCGCTTTCGTCCAGGATCCGCTTTCGATGGTCCCTGACGCCCGATCCCGCGCCCAAGAGGCCGACACCGAAGAAAGGCGCCCATTGTGTGAACGACGCATCGTCGGAGGTTTGGGAAGTCAGCTGACTCGGGGACCTAGAGACGGGGGCGACTGCAACCGCAGTCAGTCAGAGCGCCAGATCTTTCAGGGTCCTGCAGGGCCAGGGGTGCATTGACGTGGGCTTGGGTGCAAGATCCTGCAGGAGCCCGCAGGACCTTGCAGGATCCTACAAGGTCTGACTGACCTGGGTCTGGATTGACCCGGGCCCCCAGACCCCCGACAGCATGATTTTTTCATGACGTCGACCCCCAGAAGTCTGGACCCCTTCCCCGGGACTGGCTCTTCATGCGGAGTCGTTTTTTGACAGTCCCAAGGCCCCGTAAGAAGGGCGCCCAGACCCCAGACGCCGAACATAGCGAACGACTTCCCGTCGTGATTTGTTCATGGCGCGGGGGGGTCTGGGTCAGTAGCTCGACCCGGGCACCAGATGCCTGGCCCCTCCTTCTGGGCCACTCCCCCTCGGTTCTAGGTCTCCAGGATGGGGTCGGAGTAGATAGGGTCGGATGCTCGGTGTGGGGCCCAATTTTCTCCACGCCGACGTCGCGGACGCTTCGCCGACGTCGCCAGTGCATGCCCGATGCATCTGCGATGCGTCGGCGATGCATCGCCGATGCATCGGGCACCCCTGCTTCTGAGAAGGCGCGGGCCTTATCTATAGATCGAAGGCCGGCGCCTTCTCAGGAGCAGCCTCCTTGTCAGGAGCCCTCCCCCCTCCCTCCATCGACTAGACGTAAGAGTGACCTTTCGCCGGAGTGACCTTTGGTGCGGGCACAGATGGGTCCCCAGATGGCTGAAGACGAAGCAGTAGCAGCTGCTTGCGGGCCCAGGTTTGGCCCCCCCGCGGCCCCCCAAAAAGTCGCGCACCAAAGGTCACTCTTACCCAGGGTCACTCTTGCGTCTAGCCGACTCCGCCCCCTTGTGCGCACGGCCAGCTCTCGGCGCACCGTGGAGCGAGACCTCTGCGCCCGCGGCTCCCGAGAGGCGCGGGGGGGATGTCCGGCTGGGGGGGAGGCTGCGGCGACGAGGGCGGGGCGCTCGCGCCAGAGCCCCTGGAGGACGAGAGGGAGGAGGAGGAGGAGGAGGAGGAGGAGGAGGAGGAGGAGGAGGAGCATGAGGAGGAGGAGGAGGAGGAGGAGGAGGAGGAGGAGGAGGCATGAGGAGAGGAGGAGGAGGAGGGAGAGAGGGGGGGGAGGATGAGGAGGGAGGGGGAGGGAGGAGAGGAGGAATGAGAGGAGGAGGAGGAGGAGGAGGAGGAGGAGGAGCACCTGGCGAGACAATTTTGTTGTCACCACGGGCGTTTTTCGCCCGGCGGTCGGGCCCCGGGGCCCTGCCCGATGGAGCGGCGGCCCGGAAGAACGGTGCAGGCAGAAGAGGGGGGGTCCAGGGCTTCAGTCGCGTTTGTTGTCTGCGACGTTGCAATCTGTGTTGTCGCAACGTTGGATCTGAGGGATGGATGTTCCTCGCGAGACGCCCACACCTCCGACAGTATGTGATGTGTGCTTGTTTTTCGACCTGGGCGTTTGTTCTTCTTCGCCTTCTGGGGCGAAACGCTGGCCCCGTTGGGAGAGGTGGAGGCGCGACCCGACGCTGGAGCAGATGAGGGCAGCGGAGCAGATGAGGGCAGCGGCATGCTGCCAGAGGTGCGCTT